TCAGACACGGTCTTTTTCAACCTCCTGCAGAAGGTGCACCATCACCCACAGTGCCATCTAGTGGTTACACAGGGGTAGGCAAGACACTATTCCATTATAACCGGGGTGGCCAACCTGTGGCTCCGGAGCCACATGCAGCTCTTCAGACATTAATATACAGCTCCTTGTATAGGCACCGACTCCGGGGCTGGAGCTACAGGTGCCAACTTTCCAGTGTGCCGGGGGCTGCTCACTGCTCAACCCCTGGCTCTGCCACAGGCTCTGCCCCCACTCCACCCCTTCCAGCACCTTCCCCTGAGCCTGCTGTGCCCTCGCTCCTCCCCAGAGCCTCCTGCACACCACAAAACGGCTGATCGGGAGGTGTGGGGAGGGAGGGGGAGGCGCTGATCGGTGGGGCTGCTGGTGAGGGGGAGGCGCTGGGAGCAGATGGGGGGCTACTGACTTATTACTCTGCCTCTTTGGCAATGTACATTGGTAAATTCTGGCTCCATCTCACGATCAGGTTGGCCACCCCTGCATTAGAAATTCAGTCCTGCCCTTTCGTGTCCTCCGCCCAAAGGTTCTCTAGTCCTCCTCTCCTGCACAGGTGTAGCAGTGGCTGGGTCTTTGAGTAGTCAAGGCTTATTCCAACAGGCCTCTTGACTTAGCTGAAGGCTCTTGGTGTTGCACTGTTTTCTGGGAGCGGATAGGGGAGCCAAGGCCCACTCTCTCCACTGAGCTCTGGTTCAGGACCCCACAGTGGGTGGCTACACTTAGACCCTTGGGGTGCTAAGTCACCACCCTCCCTGGGCCACTTCCTACCTCCATCTCTTTCAATTGCATAGATTAAGCCACTTCTCTCAAGTCTCTGACCTGCAATGCTCAGTCACTTAGAATCATGGGGCGAGGAGGAACTGCAAGGGTCATCTCACGTAACCTCTGCCAAGATGCAGGATTTGTTGTGTCTTTTCTCTCTTTTGTAGGTTCTTCACTAGTCTGTGTAGTGAGGCCTCAGGCAAGGAGCTCCTGAGCAGTACTTTCCCCTCAGAGTTCAGAGCAGCCATCTGCTCCATTTGAATACCCGCCTCCGAATGAGTTGCTCTGTTCCTCCTTTAAAGCCCTGCCTCCAACTTGTGCCAGCCCTGCAGGTGTGGCTGGGTGGGACGCCTGGGCCCAGAGCTGCTCTTTACTCCTTTCTCTCCAGCATAAAATTTGTAAACCCCATCACACCTCCCTAATTCTATCTTCCAAGAAATGAGGCATCCCACCAGGTGTTAATTTCTCATGTCAGGCCAGGCCTCAGCTACGCTAGGCACAATTCATCAAACATCGAAGGAGGTGATCCCTGCCCTGACAGGTGTCTAATTCAACATTATTGTCAATTATTATTTTGTCACACGTCTCACAATATTTGGAGTTTTTCTTATAGCTCTAGCTGCTGGAATCCAGCAATTTCATGAGCATCTCATCTTTAATTTTAAAAATAGAACGTTTCTAGCCTTAATGGTTGCCAAGAAAACTTGAAAATATGAAGCGAGTGCACCCTGAATGCCAAGAAACCAGCAGACAAAGAATCCAAATCGTATTAGTTAAAAAACCCTCATCTTTTAAAGCCAATCTCATGACTTTTGAATGCCTGGGGTTTGCAATACTGTCAACAAGATACAAGAAGTGAGGGACATAAACTGACAAGAGTAGGATGAAGCTGACAGAAAAATATCACATGGTAATGCATAAGGTATGTAAGTTTACATCTTGATGAGTCACTTCTTTTTGTTGTTGTTGATACCTTTCCTCCTCTTCACAGGCAAGCTAGCAGAAGCAAGGTTTTAAGTGAGGTTTGAATAGTGGTGATAGAGATAACTCCCATCAAAGAATTTTTTTTCTCTCCTTGGTAAAGATCCTTCCTCAGTGCTCGTTAGTTAGGTATTTTATAAACACTGTGATCAGTGTGCTACAAGATGAATTCCATCAAGAAGGCACGCACAATCTCTACAATTGCCAAATGAGTTCCAGCCACGGTTACATGGATAGCACAAATTCTAACCTCCCTCCTGCCCCCAAATGAATACTTCTTTTCCGTTGCCTCGAGGACCTCAGAAATGAGAGGAAATCTATTCCCCTATTCACACTAAAAATCCATTGGAGCTGTGGGTCCTGTCCTCAGACAGAAGTCTTTGCTTTGTCATCGCCAAAGGCTCTGAGGGAAATTAGGCCATCTTGGCTCTGAAGGGGTTTGGGTATGGTGGATAAGTATATTTCTACACTGACAAAATATTCATAATTTCTATTGTTGGAAAAAAGGAGGAACAACTGTAAAACAGATGCAATTACCAGTTCAGCATCACAACTGAGGATCTGAATGAACAGGTAAGTAAAAAGAATCAGTGTCAATTTAGAATAAGAGTTAGTAAAGAAAGAGAAGCTGAGTGTAATGTTTTAATAATAAATAAAATAATAATAATATTTCTGGCAAGCACATCCAAAAAACAGAGTGTAAAGTGATCAGCTACTGGAGTTGGAGAGAAATTTTCCCTTATGGCATAGTAATGCACAATTAGGTGTACTATAGGTATTTTATGCCTTCCTCTGAAGCAATGTAGCATTAGAGACAGCTGAGTGCACTAGATGGACTATTGGCCTGTTTCGCTATGTTCCTATAATTAACAGGAATTAAAAAAAAACTGTTCAATGACTGATAATTTAATTTTGCCTTTAGCTATCTGAAGCTCTAATAGAAGAAGATAAGATAAAAAGGAAGACATCTGTTAGATAGATAAGCCAATATCTAACTAGGCAAATAATCCAAAGAAAAACAGAAGACTAATCAAGAGAAACTGAGATGTGAGTTGGAGAACTGTGAGGACAAGGGCAGTAGAAGACATGGTAGGAAAAGTTACTGGGAAGTTTTTCTATGTAAGGAAACAAGAAGCGGATAAGGGATAATGGCAAGGGCAATGATTGAATAGGTGCATATGTACTCTGTGAACTAAGAATAGATTAGTTTTAACAGCGGTTGTACAAGAAACAATATGGGGACAGATCCTCAACTGGTGGAAATCAAAACAGCTCTGTTAACTTTAGTGGAGCTCTGCCAGGTTACACTAGCTGAGGTTCTGGACCTATGGCATCTTATAAATACATGGAAGAGAACAATAAACTCACTCCCCAATCTCTAGAGAAAAGACATGGTGAATTATCAGCAAGGTAAAGAAGAAGACACCAGGGAAGATGACATTGTGGGTTACTTTACAAAGAATATGGGCAGGAACCAAGAGAACTAGCAGAGGGCAAAATAGCATATATTAAATAGATAAAAATATTCCAGAAAACTGGCATAACACTTCCCCCACATGGATCCCTCATAATCTGATTTTCTACACAGTTTGTAAAAGGTGCAAAAGAGATCAGATAATTAATCCTCTTTCAGGATGTTGCTTAGAATCTACAAATCTCTCTTTTATGGTACTGAACAATTATCTTCTTGTAAACTCCAGCTTCTGTCTACTTCTGACTGGCTAAGAATTGCACACATGCTATAATTGCACCACGCCCTGACTCACTGGTTTGTCTCATTCACCTGATAATCTTGCTTTTTTTAGCTTGTAAGCTCTTTGGGACAGGAACAGTCATTTACCATATGTTTATACAGCACATGGCACAATTATTAATAATGATCTTATTGTCATAATGCCTAGGAGCCCCAGTCATGAACCATTGTGCTAGGCGCTGTACAGACAGAGAACGAAAAGAGAGTCTCTGCCTCAAAAAGTGTACAACCTAAGAAAAGAGATAGGAGCCCGACCAGGTCAGCCTATAGGTGCTTCTACAATAGAATTAGATAAGTTCATGGAGGATAGATCTATCAGTGACTTTTAACGAAGATGGTCAGGGATGCAACCCCATGTGCTGAGTGTCCTTAAACCTCTGGATGACAGGGGATGGATTAGGTGATAAATTGCCCTGTTCTGTTCATTCCCTCTGAGGCATCTGACACTGGCCCTTGCTGGAAGACAGAATACTGGGCTAGCTGGACCATTGGTCTGACCCAGGATGGCTGTTTGTATGTTCTTAAAAATGTTAAATAATAATAACTGCAGCCTGGACGAGAATAAGAATGCTTTGAATCCTCCATTTGCAGAGGAGAAGTGAACACCTGGAAAATCAACACATATTTTCTTCTTTTGGTTTTAAAAATTATATTTTACTTGGGAAAAAAAAGAGGAGTACACAATAAAATGAATCCTATAAAATGACACGAATTAAACAAGGCTGTAGGGCACAATGTAACCCCTCGTATATGTGCACCCCAATCCATACCGTCTTCCCTGACTGTGGAGAAGGCTTTAAAATGTCCTGAAAACCATGTCTGTGTTTTCTTCCGCAGGTATCCTGAAGCAATAGCTCTGAGAGAGGCAAACGGCCCAGTCCAGCTCAATGGGTTGCGGACTCTGAAACTGGAAAGTGGCATTTAAAATAGCTATATATATATATATATATATATTTGCTATTTCACCGTTGGTCATTTTGGCAGAAACCTCCAGCTCAAGGCTCTTAACCCACCTCCCTCCTCTCCATCTCCTCCTTCTCTCCATCCCTGCACTAACGACTCCTCCCCTCCCTGTCCTCTCCCCCACATTAGTGACTCCCCACTCGTACCCTCCCTTTCATCCCCGCCCCTTGGTGATGGCTCCTCTCACTCATGATTTCCCCAGCCCCTCCTCTCTCTAGTTACTCCCCTCCTACGAATTCCATTCCAATCCGTAGTACTTTCCTGGCATGGTAAACTGTGCAAATCCCGGCAAAGGGCAAGGAAGCGATCCCTTAACGTCTGTCACCGATCTGCCTTCCGTGGGCTTTCCAGTGAGCCTGGGGGTTTAGCTGCAGCATCGCTTTGTACACAGTATCAGCAGCAATATTTCCTCCTCTCCAGAGCTCCGAGGCTCATGCGCCCTGGCAGAGATACTAGAGGCAGTTTCCCCGAGTCTCCTCCCCTATTCCTCCCCCTGATCTGCAGTCACTTCCTGCAGCTGTTTCCCTCTGTCCGGTTGTTCTGACTTTTCTGACTGCCGGCCCCTCAGCTCTAGTGGGGAGCAACCCGACTTAAGTTGTCATGAAAAAGGAAGAAAGGAGGAGGTGAAGATCTCAGCTGGGGATGTGCAGGGCTGGCCAGCTCTAGGTACAGGGGATTGCCTGCAGATTGCTTCTCTGAGTCCCTCCTCCCAGAACCAGGGGATTCTAGTAAGTGCATTATACTTGGGTGTATGCATTTATTAGAGTAGTCAGGACATTGGCAATAATAGGGAGGTAAATCTCACCACAAGCAGTGTTATGTATATGTTCCACTTGTTCATTTGTGGGATTTTCCATGTTTGTTTTGCATGTGGGTATTTATGTTGCATGTATGTTTTGAATGTCTGCATATTGCATCAGTTTTTGGATGCTATGTTTTGCGTGTATGTTTCCCAAATTGCATCTTGAATTCTCTCTTGAATTGCAACCATTTCAAGATAACAACAGATGCATCCGATTTTAATTAGAATGTAAGTCATGGGGATTGTAAAGCTTCCAATTTTGCATAAATACATTTGCTAGAATGTCAGTTTTTACATCATGATGTATAGTCCCATAATGATGTATTAGGTAACAAAATGTTTCCTTGCCCTTTGTGTTACTTGTTTTGCATCTACAGAAGTCTAGAGTCAGTGACCACTGTCATGAAAGTTGTTTCCATTCTAATGCCCTGTGTTCAGTCACTTAGTACTGTATGAAGCCTTCATCTTTCAGGCTGAAATTTGTCAGGCTTGATCTCTGACCAAGGGTGAATGTATTGGGAAAGTTTCAGTAAAAACAAGTACATTCATTCTGGAGTACGAGAAGCCTGGAGAAAAAAAATACACTTTCTCATTTAAAAAATAAATAAATAAATAGTGACTGTTTGATTAACTCCATCACTGAAACAGCTGGAAACAGTCAGGAAAACTTGGCACAGAAATTTGATTTGACTGAGTTATGAGCTTTTAAAAAATTGCACTCAGCCTTTGTAGAGTGCATTTCATAAGGAATTTTCCCACTATATTCATAAAATCTGCCGCTAAGGAAGGCTGTATCGTGTGTACGTGCTTGACGAACTTAACTGTGCTGTGAAAAGCTTTTGGGCCTAGATCGTGCCTGACATTTTTCTCGGGGTTGCAGAGGGTATAGAACCTTCCTCCCCTCTTGTATGGCACACACAAAGGCCAGGTACAATTGTGATCTCTGTGTTCAGGGAAGTGCAGAATCAGCTCCTTCCATACTCTCCCAGGGGCACACAGCACTCTAAAGGGGTAGGAAGTAGGTGGACTTACCTGGCTGAATCCCTCTGCATTGTCCTGTGGAACACACAGGAGGAAGTATGCTGAAACCCATAACGACGTGTAGCAGTGGGCATGACAGTGAGATCCAGGAGGCGTCCTGTCTTCCGGTGGCAGAATGCCTCCTGGAACTCACCCTGGGGAACTGCAGCTCCAGTTGTGTCTTAAAGGCACAACTGAGCCTTTACTGAAGTTGGGCAGAGAATAATGCAGGGATCATTGGTCATCTCGTAAGCTAAAAATGGCATGACTTCTAAAGGGAGAGGGAATCTCTCCTGCTAACTTCCTACAGTGTGGAGATGTAGTACATTGTGGACCTAGTAAGGTGGATGGGGTGTTACAGTGGGGCCTAGACAAGTAGTTCTAGATATGGATCTTCTTTTTCTTACATATTTCTCTAAACCAGCCAACTAAAAACATCCTAGCACTGCGCCTTTAAAGAAAAATCAACATTCCTGTCAAAAGTCAGGAAATGGTCATGTTAAAATTGCATATGTAACCTTAATTCTGCCCCGTAATCCACTTAATCCACTGCAAACCCTTAATCCACTGCAAAAAGTCTTTAATTACATACCATTTCTCAAATAAGGTCATGTCATAATTTTTTCCCCTACATGTTGTAGTGCTGTGAACTGTACTGTGTATGATAGCCAGAGTTCATGAAGCTAATAGCGGACACTTCTTATACAAGATACAGCAGATTGGGCCTGGTTCTCATTTACTCCAAAGCTACTTTAGACTGTGCTTGCTTTGTAAAGTAGGCTTAAAGTGAGAGTAAACTATATTTACATCTAATTTAAGGCCACTTTCCATTGCTGGAACAGTGTAAACTGCTTTTACCGCAAATGAAAATCACTTCATTATATATAATAGAGTAATAATACAAATTTGCTGGCATGTCTAGGTCATCTAAATGTGTAGCTAAATTAATTTTATAGGTCCAAATTATGTAACCCATGATCACAAATGAATAACTCTTTGTTCCACCTGTCATTCCATTGAAATTAATGGGACTACCTGCAGAGTACAATACTACTCAATGTGAGTAAGGGGGGCTGACTCTGTCTCAGAGTTAACAGTTATGCCCTGAGCTGAACCCATGGTAAACTATACTGGTGGTTAGAAACAATATTATATAGTACATAGTTGTTGACTCAATGATTAAGATAGTTATAGAGAGAAGAGAATTTATTTATAAAAAGTGAAAGAGCATTATCCCATGGACTGTTATCCCAATGGGACAACTCACATGCTTAAAGTGAAGCACAGGCTTAAGTTCTTTGCTGGATCAGAACCAGAGTGTGCAACACTTTGCAGGACTGTACCTTAAAACAGTAAAGATTGTTCTCATCACTGAGTTAATGAAAAGAGTAAGGATAAACAAATTTTAAAAATGAGAAGAAATGGCACCTGTACATGCGATTGATTACTCGTGTGAATGACAGCTTAATACTGTGAATAAAGGGGTCACAATCTGCTCCTAAGATTATACAGAAAAATTGTATAGTATTGAGAAACACTACGAAAGCATGTCATTAAAGATTGTGCTGTAAAAGGATACAAGCCAAAGGGCAATGTTAAGGCTGCGAGAGCAACCTTAACTATGTCATTTCACGGCTTTGAGTGCTTACTGTTCTCTTAACAGACTTTTAGATGCAATTATATTAAAATCCAGACACTGTGCTGAGAAGGGAAGAAATGTTAATGAATCTTCAGCTCTGTGAGCTTTGAGCAATCTTTATTCCTGGAGAAAAAGCATTCCTGAGCAGAGACTTCAAAGCATGATGCATTTATGGTTTTCACTAGCTTCCAGTGATATGATTTCCTTTAATTTCCTAAACTCATTGCTGTTACAGACATTTAATATGATCTGATGTTGTTCTAAGGCATTGTTCTAGACTTGTACTGACATTGTTTTACCAGGTTTCAGAGTAACAGCCGAGTTAGTCTGTATTCGCAAAAAGAAAAGGAGTACTTGTGGCACCTTAGGGACTAACCAATTTATTTGAGCATAAGCTTTCGTGAGCTACAGCTCACTTCATCGGATGCATACTGTGGAAAGTTTAGAAGATCTTATTATATACACACAAAGCATGAAAAAATACCTCCTCCCACCATACTCTCCTGCTGGTAATAGCTTATCTAAAGTGACCACTCTCCTTACAATGTGTATGATAATCAAGCTGGGCCATTTCCAACACAAATCCAGGTTCTCTCACCCCCCCCCCCCCACACACACACACACACACAAACTCACTCTCCTGCTGGTAATAGCTTATCCAAAGTGACCACTCTCCTTACATTTTTTCTTTTTGCAAGGAGAGTGGTCACTTTAGATAAGCTATTACCAGCAGGAGAGTGAGTTTGTGTGGTGGGGGGGGGGTGTGAGAAAACCTGGATTTGTGCTGGAAATGGCCCAACTTGATTATCATACACATTGTAAGGAGAGTGATCACTTTAGATAAGCTATTACCAGCAGGAGAGTGGGGTGGGAGGAGGTATTTTTTCATGCTTTGTGTGTATATAATAAGATCTTCTAAACTTTCCACAGTATGCATCCGATGAAGTGAGCTGTAGCTCACGAAAGCTTATGCTCAAATAAATTGGTTAGTCTCTAAGGTGCCACAAGTACTCCTATTGTTTTACCAGTCACATTGTAACTTTATAATCTGATTATTATTGGCTTGCAGTGTCAATATGATAATATAAAAAAATTGGTCAGTTTCTTTCAAATGCTCTATTGAGTGGAAGTGAAAGGACTCTCTGGGAGAAATGCTGGCCTAATTAAAATCAATGAAAGTTTTGCCTTTGACTTTAATGCGGCAAGGATTTCACCTTGTGGGTTTTACCCTGAAGGTCAAAGAGAACACCCACTGATGGTAGACTACAGCTTTATGTTGGGTAGTTCAATCATCACCTTATCTATGTCAATGCAGACGCCATACCAGTGCTACAGATTCATGGCCTTGGAGGCTATTGAATTCTGTGGCTTTTCTGAGACCTTCATATTGGTGCTGGGTCATGACTCCCTTTCCCCTTGCTGTAGCATCACAGTTTGCTAAATATGGAGACCACGGTTATGTAAGGGTTATTTAATGGTGAGCATATGTTGGCAATAAGGTCACTGGGATAATTACCTGGTGTCTGATCTTTTTCTGTTAAAGGATTTTATGCAGGCATATAGAATCACTGACAGTGAGGCTAGGAGATGTTACTTGTCCTCAGGCTTAGACCTTCTGTAATGCACATTCCAGCTGAACTCTTTTGGATAGTGTGCAATCAGATTACTTCAGATGGCCTTGTTCAATTAGCAGTTCCTTCAACTGATTATAATGGTGAGTTAGTTACCTTTTTACACAGATGAGACAATGTGGTTCTAGTCTCTGTATCTTTTGACTGGTAAAGCCATGGGTTCCCAATAGACTATCTCACCTGATCTCTGATTTCCTTGTCCTCTGGAATTCCCTGTGGCATACTGCCTGCAGTTTTGACTTCTGTCCATCTTGACAATGATGTGACTTTGCCACCATCATTGAGAGATGTCACCAATGCCTCACTTAACAAGAGAAAAATGTTAATTATCCTTAGACAGGCAGATGTCCACCCCCCTCCTTAAGAAGCCATCTCTTGACACTGAAGTGCTTGCCAGCTGTCAAATCCCCCACTTTCAGGGAACAAGATTGAGAAGGCTGTGGCTATTCCAGTCCAGGAGCACTTGGACATTAGTGGCATCCTAGATAGTTCCCATTTTATGACTGGCATTTTTTGGATTTGAGATCACACTTGTCAGGCTCACGAATGATCTCCCAGTGGTTTTAAATCAGGATCAGCATGTCATTTTGGTCATGATGGATTTCTTAACATCTTTTGATATGAGTGACCATGGTTGCTGCTTTGACAGCTAAGGAACATAGCTAGTGTGTCCGGAGTTGCTCTGCAGTCTTACCTAGAAGAGAGGAGTCAGTCCATGGTGATAATATGGGATTTGAAATGCTGTGTCCTTCATAGAATCATAGAATATCAGGGTTGGAAGGGACCCCAGAAGGTCATCTAGTCCAACCCCCTGCTCGAAGCAGGACCAATTCCTAGTTAAATCATCCCAGCCAGGGCTTTGTCAAGCCTGACCTGAAAAACCTCTAAGGAAGGAGATTCTACCACCTCCCTAGGTAACGCATTCCAGTGTTTCACCACCCTCATAGTGAAAAAGTTTTTCCTAATATCCAGTCTAAACCTCCCCCACTGCAACTTGAGACCATTACTCCTCGTTCTGTCATCTGCTACCATTGAGAACAGTCTAGAGCCATCCTCTTTGGAACCCCCTTTCAGGTAGTTGAAAGCAGCTATCAAATCCCCCCTCATTCTTCTCTTCTGCAGACTAAACAATCCCAGCTCCCTCAGCCTCTCCTCATAAGTCATGTGTTCTAGACCCCTAATCATTTTTGTTGCCCTTCGCTGGACTCTCTCCAATTTATCCACATCCTTCTTGTAGTGTGGGGCCCAAAACTGGACACAGTACTCCAGATGAGGCCTCACCATCAAAGGTCCCTTTATCACCCATGTTGTTCCATGTATATACTGAGCTCTTTTAACCAGATAATTCCTTACTATGGGATGTAGGCACAGCTGTACATCTGTTGCCCTGTGGACAGCACAGTTCAAGTCTCTGGCCTGGAGGGTTGTTTGAACTATCTTCTCTGGACACATTAAAACTTCTGTGTTCCCAGGATTGGTTATGAAGTCTTGCTGCTGGATAGAGTTAGTTACTACAAGAAGGCTCATTCTAGTTGAGAGGGTGTGATTAGAAGCAGTGAGTCAGTCATGCCCTCTCTAGGAAGTTCCACCCCCACCCTCCATGTGTTCCATGTGATAGGAACTTTTTTTGCATTTGCACTGCACAGTTTGCACAGGTGATGGACAGGAGATTTATTTCAGGGTAACCTCACAACAGCAAACCCTGCCTTTGTGTCTCATATGCTCAGCTGATGAAATTCCCTCTCGTGAGGGCTAACAGCAGAGCTGCTCCACTGTTTGCCACTTGTTCGGAATCCAGCATCCCTTTTCTCACTGGTCTAACAGTCACGTTCACATTCTGTCCACTCGGCATTCTTTGCTCTGGCTGCCCGTGCAGTGGGACACTAATTGTTAGCTGGTACTGTTGGTTTTTAAAGGCTGCAACAAGGTAGGCTCCCTGACTATATTTGAAACGTCTTCCTTGAACTTCATCTTGAAGCGGATCTCTGCTATGACATGATTATCCTTTTAGGAACCCCACCAACATACTTAGAATATGCAATTAGTGTCTTTGTCGTGCTGGGCCCTAGGGTGTGGAATTCACTTCACCATATAACCCAGCAGTCCATCTCTCAGCCCACCATTAAACACCTCCCCTCCTTCGGTGTCTTTTAGAACAACCACTTCCCTCTAATTGCAACTTTTCCATCCATTCCCTTCTTTCCTCTTTAGCTTCTGCATTGAACATCCTCAAATTTATTTTAGTGAGGTTCTTTGGGGGTTTTTGGATTGCATTTGAATTAATATTTAGAAATTGATTTTAGTAGGGAGCACAGCACCTTGACAAGGGAGGTGCATTGCAGAAATAGAACATTCGAAAGGCTTTATTGTCCACCCATTTCCAAAGGCATGTATATGTGTGCTTCATTTTTTGTGGGTTTTCCCCCCTTTAGACCCTAGAAATACTCAGAAAACTTTAAAGCAATATTGTTCACTGGAACTTGAGCTTCGGTTCTGCAGCTTGTCCTGTACAGGCCCAGGGATTTGCTTACAAGGAGCCAATTGCAGAACTGGGGTCCGTGTGTGCAAAAACAACAACACAAACATTTTCAAAAGTGCCTAAGTGGCTTAGACTCCTAAATCCCATTTTCAAAAGTGTCTGAGGTGTCCAAGTATCTAAGGCCCATTCACATAGGTTCTCACAGGCCAGAATTTGAAAGGTATTTAGGCACCTAAAGATGTAAATAAGTGCCTCATGAGACTTTCAGAAGTGCCTAAGTAGGTTAGATGCCAACCTCATATTGATTTCAGTGGGAGTTAGGTGTCTAATCTGTTTAGGTGCTTTTGGAAATCCCAGTAGGCACCTATGTGCATCTTTAGGTGCCTAAATACCTTTGAAATCTGGCCCTCAGGCATAAATACTTCTGAGGATCTGGGCCTAAGAACCACAGTCACTTTTGAAAATGGGTCTTAGGCACCTAAGATACTTCTGAAAATGTTACTTGCAATATAAATTAAGGATTGCCTATTTAGAAAAGTAAGGGTAGGTCCCTGTATTTAAATCACTTTTGCTTAAAGATAGTACAAATATGGCATCCCGGAATGCAATTTTAGCTTGATGTGATTTGAAATGGCCAAGATATCAAATCCTGTTTATTGGTAAGTGGGGTTATGATGAGAAGCTAACATAATCTTAACGAAAGTGGCTCTGTCTTGATTCACACTAATACTTCCACTTTGCATTAACCTAGCAATGTTCATCACAGGGTTTCAACACAATTTGCAAACATCAATTAATTAAGCCTTTCAAAGCTTCTTGTTGGAAATTTAAGGGGGTTCCTAAGAACTTGAACTGATTGAGAAATAAACTGAATAAGTGCTAATATGAGATAATCTTCCAAACCTAAGAAAATATGAAGTAGTTTTTAATATTGCATTGTACTTAGTAAAATCTGTCAGAAGAAGAGACAGATATCCAAATGCTTTCAATAGCAAATGCCTCAGGAAAATGGTAGGTATTAAATTGAATGAAGTTGTAACAAATGAGGAGATTTGTCAAAGTTCAACAACTTTTTAACTCCAAAGTTATCCAGAGAAGACAATGTAAATATCTGGGATGTATTAAGAATGTAACCAGAGCATCTGCCATGGCAGGCGTACCATTGGGCAACTGGAGGAACACGCAAGAGAGGCGGAGTGAAAGAATCCCTCCATTGAACATGAGAGAGGGACGACTATGGGACTTAACACAGAGGACATGCAAAGAGCAGCCCAGGACAGACAGGGATGGCAGGGTCTTATACAGGCTCTAAGCGATGTTTGATAGTGTGAAAAGGATTCAGATACTCAGTAAATGAAGGCATGGAGAAACTGCTCAAGGTCATGCCACAAGACAGTTGCAGAGTGTGGAATGGAACCCAGAGGAAGTGACTCCTGATACTGTTGTCTACTGGTTAGAACAAGGTGTCTCCCTCAGTGTTTTTATTTACTGGAAAAAAGTCAATTTTGACATATTTTCCTGAAGTTGATATATAGGAAGGCTTTGTATGGGGTTTACTATTCAGAACATACACAACTACTTCCAAATGATTGACAAGGTACCAAGCAACAACACATATTGCAGTATTAGTTTATTTCTTAGATTGTGAACTCGTTGGCACAGAGCCTACCGCTTCTTGGGTTTGGGAAAGGGCCTAAGGCCCCAGTACTGCACGTGTTTACCCTTGGGAGCAATGCTTCAATGGGCCTCTGCATGAGCTCAGCAGTGAGTCACTGCACAAACAAATGTAGGCTCAGGGCCTCCTATGGTAGCACAAATATGGCAGAATGATATTTTCTTGCATCTGGAAGCTTATGCCTGGTGAGTTCTCACTTTGTTTGTTGTTCAGATATTATAAGTTTTTAGTAGTCCTCTTAAATTTCCAGGAGGATGTCATTGCCTTTATTAATAGCTAAACCCAGATTTTAATCTGTGTCGTCTTGCCTAAAAAAATAACTGAGGCTGGATTAACAGGCTGACTGCAGCAGCTTTGCCCTGCTCCAGTGAAGCAGAAGCTATAAACTCATCTTAACTTCTCGTTAAAGTGGGTTCATGGCTGCTTTGCATTGTTGGAGGGACACAGAGCAGCTGGAGTGAAAGTGGCAAAGTTAGCCCCAATCTTGAACATTCACACTGTGAAAAGGATGCTGTTTATTTGAGCCTGTGTCTTTTTTCTGCTTCAGAGCTGAAGAAGAGTCTTCCTCCTTCAACAGTAACATGCCAGCAGTCCTCCCAGCCAATGATTCTTTTGCAGCAGGCAGGACTTCCTCCTCATCCTCGTCCTGAGAAGTCTTCATCTCTTCCTATGTCAGTGGCCACAAGGCCAAGAGCCAACTCACCACTGTCCCCACAGAAACCTTTTGGACTAGGGCCTTCCTTGCAGCACTCACAAGAAGAGGAGCTGGCAAAGGATCCTGTGCTGGAGGAACTATGTAAGCCTCTGTGTTGTAAACTTTGCAATGTCACTCTGAATTCAGCACAGCAAGCCCAGGCGCATTACCAGGTAAGGAGAAGCAAAAGAAGAAAGATGTTCAGATTAGTTGTTCCTGTGAGGTGTCTACCACTCTTTCAATATGAGATGTAGGGCAAGCCTTATGAATTGTAGGGCCGCAACCTGCCATAAGTGAGGGAGTCATGTGCCAGGACTTCCTCCCCTTCTGGTCCCACTGCCAGAGGCAGGTGGGGCATGTGGGCAGATGAAGCCCCTCTTTTTGCTCCCATGCCTGAAGGAGGGTTACTGAGGTTATACAGGGTTTAAGAGTGGGGCCCTAATGAGTTGCTTGTCCTCTTTTTGCTTTAGGCTGGAGCTCATCACAATTTTTTCATCAAAACTTTTTTTCCATCATGAAAAATGTTGCCCTTTCAACCAAAATAATGGAAAATGTATTTGTTAAAGTTTTTCATTCCTCCCCCCGTCACAGGAGAATGAGAAAGCAAAATCCCGTGCGCTTTGGTCCTTAGTGGAAGTGGGGAATCTGGGGAATAAAGGGCGAAAGGCAGCAGGAATCTAACCAGATTCCCCAGTTCAACTAAGGCCAACAGAAAGTTCTGATTTTCCTTCCAGTTCTAATTTAAAAATATATTTTAAAAATGTTGATTACCCATCTTTTCTCCCAGCTTTGCTGCTTTTATCAGCGGATGCCAGTTTAGCAGGTTTATGTCCCCCGGGAGACTGATTGAACAGGCTCTGTTGAGACTGGGGAGTATGCTCTTTGTAACTCAGACAGCAGAGGGTGCTTTAAGAATGAAGTCACTACCTTGCTCTTCACACCAAACACCATGCATATGGTTCACTTGAACTGGTCTTGTCTCTGAGTGGGGCTTCATTATACAAATGGGGGTGTAGTATATGACAGACACAATTGGATTAGCCAGCTTCTCTACCCCAATGTACATTTCTTTTGATATGATTCATGATATGGGTCCCCAGAGATCATCTCTCACTTTTCAGAGTAACAGCCGTGTTAGTCTGTATTCGCAAAAAGAAAAGGAGTACTTGTGGCACCTTAGAGACTAACCAATTTATTTGAGCATAAGCTTTCGTGAGCTACAGCTCACTTCATCGGATGCATACTGTGGAAAGTTTAGAAGATCTTATTATATACACAGAGACCATGAAACAATACCTCCTCCCACCCCACTCTCCTGCTGGTAATAGCTTATCTAAAGTGATCACTCTCCTTACAATGTGTATGAGAATGAAGTTGGGCCATTTCCAGCACAAATCCAGGTTTTCTCACCCTCCCCCCCCCCCCCCACACACACACACACAAACTCACTCTCCTGCTGGTAATAGCCCATCCAAAGTGACCACTCTCTTTACAATGTGTATGAAAATCAAGGTGGGCCATTTCCAGCACAAATCCAGGTTTTCTCAGCCCCCCCTCCCCCCCCCACAAACTCACTCTCCTGCTGGCAATAGCTCATCCAAACTGACCACTCTCCTTACAATGTGTATGATAATCAAGGTGGGCCATTTCCAGCAGAAATCCAAGTTTAACCAGAACGTCTGAGGGGGAAGGGGGGGAGGGGAGGAAAAAACAAGGGGAAATAGGCTACCTTGCATAATGACTTAGCCACTCCCAGTCTCTATTTAAGCCTAAATTAATAGTATCCAATTTGCTAATGAATTCCAGTTCAGCAGTTTCTCGCTGGAGTCTGGATTTGAAGTTTTTTTGTTGTAAGATAGCGACCTTCATGTCTGTAATTGCATTACCAGAGAGATTGAAGTGTTCTCCAACTGGTTTATGAATGTTATAATTCTTGACATCTGATTTGTGTCCATTTATTCTTTTACGTAGAGACTGTCCAGTTTGACCAATGTACATGGCAGAGGGGCATTGCTGGCACATGATGACATATATCACATTGGTAGATGTGCAGGTGAACGAGCCTCTGATAGTGTGGCTGATGTTATTAGGCCCTGTGATGGTGTCCCCTGAATAGATATGTGGGCACAGTTGGCAACGGGCTTTGTTGCAAGGATAGGTTCCTGGGTTAGTGGTTCTGTTGTGTGGTATGTGGTTGTTGGTGAGTATTTGCTTCAGGTTGGGGGGCTGTCTGTAGGCAAGGACTGGCCTGTCTCCCAAGATTTGTGAGAGTGCTGGGTCATCCTTCAGGATAGGTTGTAGATCCTTAATAATGCGTTGGAGGGGTTTTAGTTGGGGGCTGAAGGCGACGGCTAGTGGCGTTCTGTTATTTTCTTTGTTAGGCCTGTCCTGTAGTAGGTGACTTCTGGGAACTCTTCTGGCTCTATCAATCTGTTTCTTCACTTCCGCAGGTGGGTATTGTAGTTGTAAGAATGCTTGATAGAAGATGTCAAGAATTATAACGTTCATAAACCAGTCGGAGAACACTTCAATCTCTCTGGTCACGCAATTACAGACATGAAGGTCGCTATCTTACAACAAAAAAACTTCAAATCCAGACTCCAGCGAGAAACTGCTGAATTGGAATTCGTTTGCAAATTGGATACTATTAATTTAGGCTTAAATAGAGACTGGGAGTGGCTAAGTCATTATGCAAGGTAGCCTATTTCCCCTTGTTTTTTCCTAACCCTCCCCCCTCAGACGTTCTGGTTAAACTTGGATTTATGCTGGAGATGGCCCACCTTGATTATCATACACATTGTAAGGAGAGTGGTCAGTTTGGATGAGCTATTGCCAGCAGGAGAGTGAGTTTGTGTGTGTGTGGGGGGGGGGGGGTGAGAAAACCTGGATTTGTGCTGGAAATGGCCCACCTTGATTTTCATACACATTTTAAGGAGAGTGGTCACTTTGGATAAGCTATTACCGGCAGGAGAGTGAGTTTGGGGGGGGGGGGGGGCGGAGGGTGAGAAAACCTGGATTTGTGCTGGAAATGGCCCACCTTGATTTTCATACACATTTTAAGGAGAGTGGTCACTTTGGATAAGCTATTACCGGCAGGAGAGTGAGTTTGGGGGGGGGGCGGGGGGGCGGAGGGTGAGAAAACCTGGATTTGTGCTGGAAATGGCCCACCTTCATTTTCATACACATTTTAAGGAGAGTGGTCACTTTGGATAAGCTATTACCGGCAGGAGAGTGAGTTGGGGGGGGGGGGGGGGGGGGTGAGAAAACCTGGATTTGTGCTGGAAATGGCCCAACTTCATTATCATACACATTGTAAGGAGAGTGATCACTTTAGATAAGCTATTACCAGCAGGAGAGTGGGGTGGGAGGAGGTATTGTTTCATGGTCTCTGTGTATATAATGTCTTCTGCAGTTTCCACAGTATGCATCCAATGAAGTGAGCTGTAGCTCACGAAAGCTTATGCTCAAATAAATTGGTTAGTCTCTAAGGTGCCACAAGTACTCCTCATCTCTCACTTTGTGCTTCTGCCTGGTAATAACACCATCATATTGGACGCTCAACTTCTGACAACTTCTAGTTATGATCATTTGGGGTGGGTGGTCTAAGAGTCTTCAATTCACTCCCCCTTCCCAAGTCCAACAGAGTGCCAGTTTGCTGACCTTTGGGTATGTTGCAATAATTTTCACTTTGGTTTTTCTAGAGGAGTGTACTGAACAGGAAGGGCTTTAATGAGATGGGGCGACCTGAGTGTCTTTCTGTATTACTGGGATGGATTTTCAAAGCAGCTTCTAATTTTTGCAGGCAGAATTTTGTAGGTTCATCCCTTAGGTTTGCTGGCTGGCCTGGAAAGCATGTCCCATGTTATCTCCCTGGAGCCTCTCTTTTCCCTGGTCTGCTTCAGGAGTCTCCTTCCCAGCTACCTTCTGCCTTCAGGGATGGTCTGAAGGTGCAGGCCCCTCTGTGTTTTCTTTCCCAGAGAGGAAACACCCAACTACCTCTCTCCTAGGTCTCCTCTCCATATTGCCTTGAAGCCTTTCTTTATAGAAGCCACCCAGGTTGGTTCTTCAGAGCTGGGTCTAATCCTCAATTACCTGTCTTCACGCCAGGTGCAACAGAATGGGCTAATTGGGCTCCCCTTCACCCTTTCACTGCTAGTGTCAGGAGGTACATACCTCATCCTGAGACCCAGTCCTGCCAGGTACTGAGCATCTCATGAGGAATCTCAAGCACTCTAATCTCCCATTGCAATCAATGGGAGTTGAGATTGCTCAGCCCCTCTCAGGATCAGAGCCTGTATCTGAGCTGCTGATGTCATGACTACGTTTACATTTCAGCCTCTTAGCTGAGTCCTCTAGCTGTTATATACAGGTGGCATGCTACCACCTGGACAGTGATTAATTTGAGTTCTGTTTCCAGGGTAAAAACCATAGTAAGAAACTTCGGAATTACTATGCTGCAAATAGTTGCCCAGCTCCTGCCAGAATGAGCAATTCAGTGGAGCCTGCCGTGCCTCAGATTGTCTCCCATCCAGCTCAGGTAAGGCCTTGAGAGATGAGCGAGGCTGTGCTGCTTACATGTTCAGTACTCCCTATGACAAGGGTAACTAGGTCTCATGCTTTGGGGTGGGATTGCTGCAGGGGTCAGAGGAATCTTCCCCACTATGTCCAGCATGGTGCAATTGGACTGGTGTGTGCCTTTACATTCTTCTGAAGCATCAGGTATTGACCGCTCCTGGATACAGGGGACTTGACTCACTGAGCCACTGATCTAATCCTGTATGGCAAATCCTATGATACCTGTGTGAATCAGATGCTGTGCTGATTATGGCTGTTTAAAGCCATGGAAAACACTCATCATCATGTCCTTTCTTTGTGTGTGTTTGTGGAATATCCTCCCTTTGCCTAGCCATCTCCTGTGCATCGAAGTGAGGCTGCACCTCGGTGCCTATGTAGAAAAGGTGCTTAGATTCTAGCACCAACTGCACTGGGCCATCATTTCCCTCCCTAAATAGCTACTTTTGTGGCACTTTCTCCAATCGCAGCATGAGTGAATGGCCCCCTCTGGGGTCCAGATTAATGCTGTCCCATGAACTGCCCAATGGCAGGCACATGTAGAGCAAGAGTGCATGCCCCATTAGCTCAAGGGGTAAATCAAATGTTCTCCACACCTGACACTTGCATGTCATTGCGTGTTGGTCAGCAGGGATCAAAGCTGGGGCCTTCAGCACCAAAAGCATGGGCCTCTACCACTTAAACTAAAGGAGAATGAATCCCTTAACTGTGAGTAAGTAGCAGGTTGTTATATGGTTGCTGGGGCCAGACAGCCCCAGGTTGTTATATGAGGCTGGGGGAGACCTGTTGACATGCAAAAAGAACCTAATCCAAAGCTTACTGAAGTGAATGGGAGTCTTTCCATTAGCTTCAGTTGGCATTAGAGCAGGCCCTGCCCCAAGCCCTTGCATGTTACAAGTGTACTTTGCTGCTTCCCAACAGCTGGGGTGGCTGCTCTGCCTTGTTTGAGGAACTAATTCTCAGAAAAAAAGAAAGCCAGGTTTGAGCCAGCTGCGTAGAAGATGTTCATATTGTACGATGCAAGCCAGAATTCTAGAGTTTTTTTGGGAGGAGGGTCTAGTTAGAAGCATATGAAGTATCAAAACGAGGGCCAAAGAAACTGCACCTTAGAAAGTGTAGCACTGGCAAGGTCAATGAGTAAATCATTGTTATCCACACTATTTGGGAAATACTGTTTCCTTGGTGATGTACAAAACACCAAAAAGATTCAGTTACTGCCCCAATCAGCTTACATTCTAAGTAGACAGACAAGATCACGCCCCATAATGCACTGGGAAATCCTGAGGACTGAGCTTACTCGGGACTGGATCATTCCTCTAAAATTTGCATATGGAACTCCCGCTGTCCATAGGCAAGGTGTGAGGAGGGGTCAGTTGTTTCTCTGCAACCCGTGGAAGGTTCTTTGCTGGGCTGGAGATCCAGTTAGGGGGTAGGTAGTCTGGACACAGACCGCCCTGAGTGCTGTGGAATCTCCTTTCAGGGAGCTCCCAGGGGCAGAGGTAGGCAGAGGAGTCAAGCCTGTGAGGAAGCTGGAAGTGGGAGCAGGAGTCGCCAGAGCCAATGCAGAGGTACAGGGCCTCTGCACAGATAGTTTTAATCTCCATTTGATTCTCAGAGATCTGTGTGGATCTTAGGGATGTGCAGGTTCAGGGGGCCAAACTCCCAGCTGGAGCCAAGGAGAGGCAAAACCTACTCCCACAAGGGAAAGAATTTGGGGAACACTGTGCAGTGAACCTGAAGTTCTAATCTTCCACCAGCTTGCTGAGAGGGGTCAACTTCATTGAGCCTGGCTCAGTTATTTCAAAGAATGAAGTCTCCTATGTTTGCATATGAAACTTTCCCTCCCTTTTGCTGATAGATGGGTGCCTCTAAACCAGTAGGCCGAGTGATCATGGCCACAGAGAATGATTACTGCAAGCTTTGTGATGCCTCATTTAGTTCCCCGGCTGTGGCCCAGGCTCACTACCAAGGAAAGAATCATGCCAAGAGGCTACGCCTGGCAGAAGCACAGAGCAACTCATTCCCGTAGGTATTGTTCAACCTTTACATTAAGGCTGGCCTGAACGTGTGCAGCCATGACTCCAGCAATCTCTATTAATGTATCTCAGAGAGCTTTAAAACACAGCTGTATGTATTTTTTTAACCTTCAGGGATACATCAGAACTGGGCAAACGGAGGGCACGGAAAGAAGGGAACGACTATAAGATGATGCAGAATAGAAGAAATGTGTATGCGGTTCCAAACAGTACAGGTACTTGAATGCTTGTGTCACCACTTACATGCTCCATAGGTCGCACAGTGACTATTTCTTAATGGGTTCAATTCTCTTCCATGTCCAAGCTCTGGTTAACACAGAAGCGTGCGTTAGGGAGCTCTTGTTCCGCGGGCTGGTCTGCACTGGTTCTGACTCTAGCGTGAGGGACTGTAACAGGGTGGCATGGGGTGACTCTGCAGTAGGCCTGCCTCATTTTGCCCCCTTCTCACAGCTCTTCAAAACTCTACAGCCTCATTTGGCTGCTGCAGTGGCTTGCTGCTATGACTTGGCCCTCCAGCTAAGCCCTTAACAAAAGTATAACTCTCCAGGGAAACAGAGTTCCACATCCATGTTAAAGCCAAACAAAACAGAGCCTTTTCCCCAGTCTCAAACTAGGCCTAACCCCTTCTTCCTAAGGGGCTTCTCTTCTGTCCTCTAATTCTTCTGCTCACCCTCTGGGCTCAGCTTTCAGCCCCTCCCAGGTTCCTTTCCATCACTCCTCTGGGTTCCTTTGGGTTGCTCCCTGGTCTTTCCCAAGCAGGCACTCCTTGGCCTTCCTACCTGGAGTCATCCACAGGTCTCTGCCAGCCTTGTGCTCTCCTCTGGCTCCTCACAGCCTTCCTGCAGCATCAGCCGCCACCACTTCCCCTTTCTTCCCAAACCTAGGGTTAGATAAGACAGAGGACTGATTGGGTCACATGAACTTCATTTTCACCATCTGGGGAGGCAAAGCTACTTGTGAAACCGGGGTCCAAGGAGAGGCTGACCTGGGCCCTGTCCAGGGATTGGCTGCTGCAGCCTGCCTGAGGGTTTAGTCACAGCAGACTCTGTTAGAGGGGCGAGTCAGGGCACCTGTTGAACATCTGCGCCAGCCCACATCTAAAGGATCCTCCCCCAGCCTAAAGGGAGTAGCCACTGAGCCCAGGGCTCAGGTAAATTCAGGGGACAATGAATGAAAAGTAAGGATGGGAGTGAGGGGTAAAAGCAGGGAGCCAGAGAGGGACACTCAGCAGAGAATCCTGGACAGTGCCCACTGCTCCTCAAAGGTGTCCAGGGAGCCAGTGGATGCGGCCCAGAGTAATTGTGCCCAGATATGTGACTGGAGGGAGGAGCGAAAATAGGCCCCACAGTCACAGAGCGCCTCCCATCCAGCAATCTTCTCCTAGCATGATGGATGGCCACCTTGGCCAATGATGAGGAGGTCTCGCCACTTCTTGGGGCCACAGATGGGGTGAGTGTAGATCAGGAGGTGCGAGAAAAAGTACAGCCAGAACCGAAGGAGAAGGTTCTGGAGTAGCCGGAAAAGGGGCTGCAACCTGGTGCACTCGATGTAAATGTGTACCAGGGTCTATGTGACACCGCAAAAATGGCACGTGTCAGGAAGGGGAGTGGGTGAACCATGCCAGGAGTTGCCAGCTCATATCCCTGGTAGGCCGGAGTCCAGGGTAGAATATAGACTGGCCGACCGGGGCTCCTCACCCTCCACAGGTGGTAGAAGGTCTTGCCACTTGGCGTCGGGGTGGGACTTGAAGGGTATGGAATATGAACATGTCCAGCTGCTTCCTAGGCTTGATACAGAAACAAACCAACTGCAGGTCATGTAGCTGGCTTGGGTGGTGCGGAGGGGGGGCTTGCAGGGCAGGGGCCTGATAGCGAGGTCTGGAGGATCAGAGGTGAGGGGCGGGCAGGGAGCACCCTCCACCAGGGCCTGCTCGAGGAAGGCGTGAGAGACAGGCGATAAGGCTACCCTCACCTCCTGGTGTACACACCGGAGGACACAAGGGGTGGAGAGCCCCATGCACCAACCAAGTGCCAGGGGATCCACCCCGTCCTCCCAGTCGTAATCCAGGAGGTCTTCACTGAGGTGGGGGTTGTGGTCAGTGATGGCATCTGAGTGAGCAGCCCGACCCTGGCTGTGTGTTTACCTCACAAGGGGCATTTGAAGACAATCAGTGGGTCTATGATTATGCAGTCCCCCTGGCCAAAGCCTCTGTCTAGAAGTGATACAGCAAGCTGCGGTACCACACCCATATTGCTGCAACCTCAGAGGTTGTGCAGGTTGCACGGGTGCTCCGTGCCCAAGTTGGGAGCTTTCCATTCCCCACTCCCTTGTCCCCGTACAGTCTGTTTACCTGAGCTCTGTGTAGATGCTGAGTGAGCCCCTCAGTAAAGGAAGCTTTGCAAAGAAAGAAGCTATTTGTGGTGCCAGGGCTTTGTCTGGCTCTCGCTGACTCCACCCATCTGTCCGTCTTGATCCTCTCAGCAGTTAAAGTTACTTCAGTTTGTCAGCCTCTTTTGGTTGGTTGGTTTCTCATCTCGTAACTTAATTTCCCATCTGCCTTTCTCTATTGCTGCTTTAAGTGGTGGCTATTTCCTGGTGTTTTCTTGGCAAGGGGCCTGAGCTTTTGACTCCGACTGTACCACATCAACCCATGCTCGCATTCTTGCTGGCCAGAATGATAAAGCAGGTTTGCCATCTTCCAAGGCCATCTGTTCCCAGAATCAGTGTCTCTGGTGTTTCAGACTCTGACTTTGCCACCCTTTGAACAAACCCAATATGGGAAAGACAGATTCTGTTCTCTAATTTTGGCTGTGGGGAGGGGGAGAAAAGCACTTTGATTTACTGCAAAACCCTTTAAAAAGAACTTTGATCTAGGAATAAGCAGAGAAAAGCGCATGGGGGAAATTCACCCCTGAGTGACAGTCACTTTGCTCTTGTGCCCAGCCCTGTGCCCAGACAATTCCTCCAGTTCAGAGGAGCCTCTGGCCAGTGCAAGGCTAGCTCTGCCAGTGATGCGTTGCCTCAGCAGAAGCCGGGAGCATTCTAGGGCAGGACAGAGTGACGTGGAGGAGTGGTGGGTTGGAACATGACGAGGGGAGGGTGTTGAAGGTTGACAGACTGGAGGAGGGAAGAGGTGGATCGGGAGCAGAAGGAGATGTGGCTAGGGTGGAGCTCAGGGCTGATGGCAGCAGTGGGGAGTCAGTCCCATTGGTTATGTCTGCACTGCAGCTAGGAGTGAGCCTCCCAGCCCAGGTAGACAGCCTCACGCTAGTGGGGCTTGAGCTAGTGCACTAAATGTAGCAATGTGGATGTTGTGGCTCAGACTGGAGCTGAGCTCTCAAGCCCACCCAACCCCCTGGGTTTGAGAGCCCAGCTCCAGCATGAGCCACAGCCTCCGCTCTGCTTTTTTTTAGTACACTAGCTCAAGCACCACTAGTGCGAGTCTGTCTGTCCACGCTGGGAGGCTTGCTCCTAGCTGCAGTATAGACAAACTCAGCGGGCTATAGCAGCAGAAAAAAGGAGTCCTGTGGCTGCTCCAGCTTGCGCCTTGGCCCTGAGTAGCAGCAGAAGAGGAGAGGTGAAGTTAGTTCCCTCTCTATTCCTGAGCCGGCACTAGCCCTAGTGTAGGAATGAATCTGGCCTGATTCTGGCCTGATTCTGGTCTCATTTGCTGCAATTTTATATCTGTGTAACTCCACAGAGCGCACACATCAGGTATTCCTGATTTGCAGCTTCCTGTCCAAGAGAGAGAAAAATCAGCCCTTAATTCTATACCATTTAATTTGAAGTATGTTTATTAGTGTCTGGATCAGCGGTTTTATTTTTTCTTTGCGGGTCTTGTAATGAGCGGTCGTTAGCTCAGACAGCCCTCTGATGAGTGTTAGTTTAATTCTGTGTTTTCAGCATGGTGTTAGTTAATATAACGGTTCTTCTAAAATTGCATTAAATATGATCTTATCGTAATTATTTTTAATTAAGCGGGCAGTAAACTTACTCTGATCAGAAAGCTGATTCTAATTCTGAAATAGGGGGAGCAGTGATACAGGGTCAAATTTTCAAAAACGCCTAACTCCCATTTTCAAAAGTGACTTAAGCACTTAGGAGCCTAAAGCCTGGTGTACAATACAGCTTTAGGCAACTTACATCGACCTAACGCTGTAAGCGTCAACAGTAAAATGTAGGTCCCATCGATGTAACGTGTCCACTACACCAACTTAATAACTTCATCTCCACAAGAGGCATAGCACTTAAGTCAATGTAGTTAGGGCAACACAGTGTCAGTGTAGATGCTGCATTGTTTACATGGACTGTTGCTGCCTTTTAGAAACTGTCCCACAATGCCCCACATTGGCAGTTAAATCAGAGCAAGCGCTTCTGGTGAGGATGCGTACCACCGACACAAGGAGCACAGTGTGGACATGCAAAATTGATTCAATTATTGCGGTGCCTGTACGTCGACATAACTTAGGGCAAGTCTGCAGTACAAAATAAAGTTGACCTAAGTCCCATTGACTTTAGTGAGAGTTAAGCATCAAAGCCAGTTAGGTGCCTTTGAAAATTCTACGAGGTGCCTATCTATATCTGTAGGTGCCTAAATACCTTTGTAAATCTAGGCCTAAGTCACTTTTGTGCTTAAGTCACTTTTGAAAGTAGGATTTAGGCTTCCAAGTCACTTAGGTGCTTTTGAACATTTTACTCATAGTCCTTAGTGATTGTGAAGTGAGGCTTGAAACGTTGCAGGGCTCTTCTTGCTTACAGATAAATGGACTCCTTTATTTTCTCTGCAGGTCCCTACTTCAATCCACGCTCCCGCCAGCGAATTCCTCGTGATCTCGCTATGTGTGTCACCCCAAGTGGCCAGTACTACTGTTCCATGTGCAATGCTGGGGCTAGCGAAGAGATGGAGTTCCGACAACATTTAGAAAGCAAACAGCACAAAAGCAAGGTGTCTGAACAGAGGTATAGGAATGAGATGGAGAATCTTGGCTATGTACAATGACACGCTATCCCTTGGTAGTAGTTTGCAGATAGAACAGCTTGTCTTGCCTGCTGTTTGCCACATGCCCTGCTTTGTGCTCCATTTGATAGGAGTATGCTCTCTAGCTATACATGTAATACCTGCAAACTTAATGGTATGGTTAGGGGTTTTTTATATCACTGTTGGCAGGAATATGCTCTGCAGGACGTGAAGTGGTTTTAATGTTTGTTTGCTCATTATCTAAAGCTCTTCATTGCATTTTGGGGGAGCCCTGTCCTCCCCCATGCCCTGTTGCATGAGTGTGCAAGGCCCAAGAAGCACTGGGGGGACTACCACGGTTCTGCCATGCAGGCAGGGTATGTGGAGACGCATCACCCTTTTTGGCGTGTCCTAGAGCTGTGCTCCACAGCATCACTCCGCAGCAGGGGGACTTTGTGGTCAGGCTAGAGGAGAGGAGGGAACAGAGCCAGCAGATGTGTGAATGGCATTGTTGGCCACGCATCCCTGCTAGCAGAAGCATAAGAGGCTATAGCCTCAAATACACCTTACAGTAGGTGCCTCCTGCATTCCTGTCGGTACGGCACAGAGGCTGTGCACATACCCTGTGGGAGGATCCTATCTCACTCACCCTCATCTAGGCCACCCACCAGTGTTTGGACTTCAAGTGGCTGGGGAGGATTTCAACCTAACATCTGCAATAGGAGAGTAGCTGATCTGCCACATCAGCAGATATGCTCCTCTGTCAAGGAGGATAGATTCTGGTCTGCTCTTGGCAATGGATTTTTACCACACTGGAGCCACTAGGCATCTTTATGCAGCATGGGAGCAGGGCCTGTGCAGGGCCCAGAGAGCAAAGAAGCTAATATAATCTGATGGGGGCTCTGTACTGAGCCTTGGCCCTCCATAGGACAGCATGGATGGTGCAATGAGGATGGGCTGGGGAGGAATCATGGGTCCTAACACCCTATCAGATTGGTGCTGAGGGGGGGGTCAGGTGCTGTTCTCCAGCCTGTAGTAGTAACTGTAAAGGGGGTGGGTCTGTGATGTAGTATAATTCCCTGGAAATTGGGGATTATTGGATTTCAACTGCCGCAACCTCCACTCCATTCAGCTGCACTAAGCCTGACAGACATTATATGTGCAAAGTGAAATTCACCTTTGGAGAAGAGCTGCCCATGTTGGGCATATTTCCTCTCTTCCCTTTACTCTAAGTCTCAGACTGAGCTTTCCTTTATCTTTCTTCCCTCTGAACAGCAGCGTTTTACAGTCTTTTGTTTTAGGGAAGGGATAATGAGTGTGAATGTAATCTCCAGGTTGGGCTGATTGTCATGTTCTCCCCTGTTTTATCTCTGGGCTGGGCTGCTGTACTATCTTTTGTGCAATCTCCGGGCTGGGCTGCTGTGTTCTTCCCAGTGCTATCTCTGGGTGAGGCAGCCGTGCTCTCCCTGTGTGATGTTAGGGCTGGAGGGCCGTGCTGGCACCCATTATCTCCAGGTTGGGCTGTTGTGTTCTCTCATGAATTATCTCCAGGAGAGGCTGCTGTGCTGTCCCTCGTGTGATCTCCGGGCTGGGCTGCCAGGTTCTCCCCTGTGTTCTCTCTGGGCTAGACTGCCGCGCTCTCTGTGTGTGATATTCGGGCTGAGCTGCCGTGCTGGCGCCATGGTGATCTCTCAGTGGGGCTGCTGTGCTCTCCTCTGATCATTCACGCAAGTTGTGGTGAATTTAATGATCCTTATCTTTTTTCTAATATCCAAAATAAGTAGGGTCAGAGCCAGGCAGGTGCTGTGGATATCTCCCTTCCAGGCCTGCTTTACTGTTCTGGTTCTATGCTGGTGTAGCTCCTTGTTTTTCGGGTGGGAGGGTACTAGAAATGAAAAGGTGCTCTGTAGCTTGTCCCCTTCTCCTGGAGGCAGTGAGTCAACTTCTTCCCTAGGTATAATCCCAGTGACTTCAGTGGGGCTGCAGCAGGGATGAATTTGGCCTAGTGTGTATCATGTTGCAGACAGCCCTGTTTTTCGCCATCCTTCACTGGTCCCTGCTCCCTAGTATCCTGCATTCCACCAGCCTTTTTCAGCCTTAAAAAACAGAGTTTCTGTTCATCTTCTCAGTCCACCACAGAAAGGCTTGTATCACTTGCGTGCTCAAAAGCTGTTCTTCAGACTTTGAGTAATCTGTCTCATCAGCCACCTCCAGCGAGCGCTGCACAACTGCCCTGTCTTTTATATAGCACTCCTATACTCCATGAGGTTAAACTGTAATGCAAGTCACAGCAATCATCACATGTTCCCTCCTGATCCATGTTTATATGCAGGGTAACAGACTCCAGTGTCTATAGCACCTAATGCTGGTCCTCTGTGCAAAGTCTGAGTAAATAGGCTTTTCACAGAGGAACTCCATCGGGTGGAATGGGTGCGAGAACAGAATCCTGGGTTGCAGAGCACAAACACAAGCCCCTTCCCCTGTGCTCTCCCTGGCTGGCTCCCTGGCCATGCCCACTGGCTTGCCCCATTCCCAACCTCCCTGTGCTGCCATAGAGAGTGCAGTCCTCTGGCATGACCTGCTCCCCATTCCACACAGTGGAACTGTGGCCTTTCCTCTGTTTTCCTGGCTGTACACCCCCGTGCAAGGACGGAAGATGGTGGACGATAGTTGCCCTGTCGTGTTTCCCCACAACATTTTTTGCACCATGTTTAAATGTCCATTTGCCATAAACCATGGCATGGTGTTTCCATTGTTTCGTGCAACACTGAATAAAACAAGAGCTGGGAAAAGCCCTGTTATACGTAGAGTGTCTAGCTCAGGGTCTAGTCAACGGGGCATTTTGCCTCACAAAACAGTGTCTAGTTCAAATGCCCCAGCAATGGGGCTCCCACGTTTGTTCTTGGGAGGCTGCCCAATGGGCAGGTAGATCTCCCCCGCCATCCAATCTCAGTTGGAACATCAGGGATGAGGGTTGTCACCTCCAGAATTCCATCTCTCCTCTGTCCTTGCTGTTCCCTGGTGTGAAGCAGGGAGTGGGACTCCACAGCACCTGGTGACAAGTCTCCCAGGCAGGAGAAAAGGCATCCATGGCTAGAAGGATGTGGGATATGCTGGGACTTGCTCTGTCCAGGAGTCCTGATGTGAGCACAATGGAACCAAAGACTGCCCCTCCCATCACAGCACCCACAGTGGTTTCTCCTTGACCTAGAAAATGGCTAATCATGAAGGTATGAAAAAACACCTTAGACCTTATTAGTGTTGCTGCGATAGCAGGGGACTGGACTCAATGACCCAGGAGAGCCCTTCCAGTCCTATGCCCCTATGATTTAAGGGTTAAAGCCAACCCAAAGGCCCTTCAGCAAGAGGAGAAGGTCATAACCTGACTGTATGCGAATTAAAGTAATTCTGTACATAAGGATTCAGAATGCTTGGGGAAAATGTATTCTGCTATATCTACATTCAGAAAGGGGTGGGGGGTGGCGGCGGCAGGCAGCAGGAGAGGCACCATACCGAGTAAGAATACAGGCGTGGCACCTTTTTAGAGACACCCCCCCCCCCTTGAATAGTTTATTTCTTGACTGGAAAAAAAAATGAAGTGGACTTTTGTGAAGCTATCACATTGGCCAGTAGATTAATGATCTTTGCTGCTTAAAAAAAAAAAAAAAAATCATTGCATTCATATTTATTTTATTATGCTGATCACTAACAGTCTCGTGAATATTTATGGCTTTATCCTATGGGTTATTTTTGTTTAAATAGACAAATCTTCAGCGCACTTTGATTTCGAATCAGACTAGATATTTATTATTTGTGAAAATGTGGCTCTTCCCCCTCTCCCCACGTATATGTATTTTTTTCTTCACATAAAATAAAACTGTTCCTTTATGTTTTCAAGGCAAACAAATTCAGGATTTGCCTCCAGCTTTTTCTTAAGTCACAATTGCAACCTTTGTCTACCTGGTGTACTCAGTAAATTGAGCACATCTTAATGTTAACTTTAAATACATATGCATTTCATTCCAGCTGTAGCTTTTATTTTAAGGCAATGAGACCAATACATGGGATCCATATAATTTATATGGAGTAAGAAAGAGGTACTGTTTTTTTTGTATTAAGCATTAGATGTCATTACGCATTAACAAATAAATGTGTTCTATCATTACCTAACATGGGGCTCAGTTCTGTGTATAGTTATTCTGGTGCAAATCTGAAGTAACCCTTCTAACTTCAGTGGAGTTACTCTGGATTTACACCAGTGTTACCAAGAGCAAAATTTAGTCCAGGAGATTTTTTTTTCCTTACTACATGAACATTATAGAGAGAATCGATCTGTAAGCATTGATTCATATTTTGGCTCACTAATATGCTGTTAATAACATGAGCAAAAAATCCTGTCATCACATTACTCAGGCAAGACTCCCATTGACAGCAGGGGGGTTATTGCCTGAGTACAAAGTGAATGACATGGCTGCACTGTATACTTGCGTTGGCCATGCCAAAACAAAGCAGGGTGCTAAATGTTCTCTCAATCGTAGATTTTGTTACAACAATCTAGGCTGGCTTGGCTTTTTAAAGAATATTTCTCTTGCTCTGTAAGGGCATGAACTTGCTCCCACTGAAATTGGCAGTGAAGCTCCCATTGATTTCAGTGGAACAGGATCAAGCCTTAAACTACTCCAGGAACTTTGTAGTGCCGATGCCTTGTCATGTACATGTTTTTATGTCTGTATCCACAAGGATGCTCTGGATGAGGAAGAAACCTTTTGCCCCTTAAGAAAAGCAAATTTCAAGATGGATCCAAAAGGAACTATTATTACAACTGGCAAAGTCCATGTGTTCCCAGGAATAAATTTAGCATGCAGGATTGAACAATCGTGGACCTGATCCTGCTTTCATTTAAGTCATGGCAAACCTCCCATTGACTTCACTGGAGCAGGATCGATTGCCACCTGCATCAAATTGGAAGTAAGAAAAAAATCTGCTTTTAAATCAATTGTTAGACAATAATAGCTGGAATCCTTTTCCCAGTGATGAGGAGAGGCCAGTGGAGTTATATAAAAAATGAATAAGGCATCTGCAGTGAAAGGGAGGATTATGGATGTTTCTGAAACGAAACACAAAATCGTGAATGTGGATACAGAATCGATTCAGTCCACTTTGGAAGGAACTGATTTAATTTGTATCCTGCAACTGTATGGTAGCATCATTTGCAAATGCTTTGAATGTACTTAATCTAGAGCCTTCTTGTCAGGTTGGTTTTGTACACTTGTCCCTCTTTTTATTGCATTGAACTCTGTAGGGGAATAGTTGAGTTGATGAAAATGAACCTCTTCTCCACTCTACAATAAATCGTCTTGCTCTCACCATTCCACAACTTCAGTGTTTTGGCTTTATTCCTGCTGGTGAGTGCATGGCTCTAAACAGGCTTCCGCATAGCAGAAGAGTTACAGGTGCTTGAGACTAGCTGCCTAATATGTATTAGTGCACAGGTAAAGGGTCCATGTGCGGCGCTGACTGCCTCCAACTCCTATGAAGTCCATTTTAGTCTTAAATCTCCCCACAAGACTCCTTGGCTTCACAAGGAGTTGAGGATGCTCAACACCTTGCAGGATAGGAGCCGAAATCACTGTGAAGGGCTTTGCATCACATTGTGTTTTCCTGCAGAATGGATACCACAAGCTCACTTGCATCTTCAGATTGAAGAAAGGTAGAGTGAAAAATCATACGGGCATTTAACTTTATAAAAGGTTTTTGAAAGGCTCAAGAGACTGGTGCATACCAGGCCTGATTATCACATATGCCCTGGTATAACTCCAGGGAGCCAGATTCCCCTCTCATTTACATTACTTTACAGCCCTGATTCAGGAAAGCACTTATTAAAACTTAAGCATGGACCTAAGAGATTGCCTGAGTAGGGGCCTTTAAGTTGTTAAAATGATGATGGCTGTTCAGTGCCTATATGAGTTGCTGTTCTCAGTCCTGTTCCCAGTGACCTTTCTGAAATTGTCCTGAAGCTCTTACTTTTACTTACACTTGAGAAAAGGAGAAAAATAATGCAGTTAATGAGAGACAAGCTGTCTTAATCAATACACTTTATAAAGCTTTGCACTTAATGGCCTAAGGACTTGATCCTGTGAGGTGCTGAGTGCCCTCAACTCCCACTGCCTTTTGTGGAAGCTCTTTACAGGATCTGGTCTTTAGACTAGAAGACTTCTAATTCAGACAATTGTCTCCATATCACTGCTAGATATTAAAGAACAAATTTCCCAGTGGCCATAACCTTTAGAATTCACATACAACTCTTCCATTCTAAGAGTGAAATGAACATCCTCTGAACAAAGCTTGGGATAATGGGCTTTATATGGGGAACCAATGAAGAGGGGCAGGGACTATGAGGAGCAATTTACTTGACACGGTCTGCTGTGCACCTCTCCTTTACAAGGGGTTTGTGGCCAGTGGATTAGTATGGAACAATTAGTCATGACCCTGGCCTGACAACAAGCCCACATGGTCCTGCCAAGAGGGCTTCCATGAAGCCCACCTCTGTAGCATGCATGTGACTGCAGAATGCCCCTGAGTGGCTTCTTGGCTTCCTGCTTTCCACCTGCAGTGGGCAGTGGAACTGTGGTGGTGCTGTGGCAATTTGTCCCTTCTGGAGCCCGGAAGCTATGACTTAATGCATAGATCACCCTCTCATTAGAGAAGCTACCAAGCTAATAAAGTTATGAAACCTTGCAAGTAGAGATTTATGTTACTGATTTAGCACAAATCCTACGGCGACCTGAGCAGAGGCAGGAAGTGCTACCGTGATTCATTCGAGGCACCATTTAAGACAAAGCTCTACAAAGAGTGGAAAGCCCTCATTCCCTGATATCAGGGCCGGATTAACTCTCCTGTGGGCCGGGGGCTATTAGATTTTGTGGGGCTCCTGTATATAAGTCTTTTCCTGGGAGAGAGTTTGGTGCAGGAGGGGGCTGGGGCAAGGGATTGGGGTGCAGGAGGGAGTGCGGGGTCTGGGATGGAGTTTGAGTGCAGGAGGGGAATTCTGACCTGGGGCAGGAAGTTGGGGTGTGGGAGGGGGTGTGGGGTGCAGGCTCTGGCCAGGAGGTGCTTAGCACAGGCGGCTCCTGGCCGGGGGCACAGCACGGCTCAGACAGGCTGCCTGCATGCTTTGGCCCCACGACACTCCCGGAAGTGGCTGGCTGCTTGCACATCTTTGTGGCCCCTGGGGGGATGGGGACAGCGTGTCTCCGTGCGCTGCCTGCACCCGCAACACAGCCCCCCGAAGCTCCCATTGGCCCCTAACATAGGAAGTCTGTGGCAGAGCCAGGAACTGAACCCATGGCTCCCAAGTTTTCACCCGAATCACTGGGCTATCCTTCCCAATTCATTGAACGCTCATTTATTTTAACAAATGTTTAATTTTCATTACTTATATTACCTCACAATGTTTTAGTAACTGGACTGTAGCATGAGTTTTAAAAAGAATGAGGTCTTGGCAATGTAAAACCTCATCCCGGCAAAAAGAACAGGAGTACTTGTGGCACCTTGGAGACTAACAAATTTATTTGAGCATAAGCTTTCGTGTTACAGACTAACACGGCTGCTACTCTGAAACCTCTCATCCTGGCAGTGTCTCTGCCGTTAAATCTTAGCTGAAAAGTGGAGAGAGACTGCCAATTTTTATGTTCGGATTAGCAAAATACAGGCTATGGAGGGGCTTCTGTATTAGGTTATGTTCACTTCATATAAATTATTAGTTTATTATTATTAGTTATTCCAAGGTGTTAGGTTGGCTACTTGTCTATTTTATGGTAGTTATGAAACTATTCTAACAATATCGTGCAATGGGCCTAATCCTTGGAATTACACCTCTTTTACAACAGCATAACTCCACTGGGCCCAATTCTCTTTCCGTGCTGGTGTAAAGCAAGCACAAATCTACACCAATATAAAGGGAGATGGGAGGACTGTCCCCAATAAATTACCTGAGACTACAAACTGTCTTTGGTAGGTATTTGGTGTACATACAAGGGTGCTAAGAGTACTGTATTAATTTAAGTTCTGTTTCTCGTGATCAGGGTCTCATTTTTCACAAAGGGATATTTTGAACAGAAGAACAAGATCGATGTTTGGATAAGGTGATTTTTTTTTTTAAAGAAAAACTAAGATGACAGCGTAATAAACTGGTCATGCTGCCTCTGCAGAATCAGTTTATGCAGGAATAATGCAAACAAATCAGACCATGGATTTAGCTAAATGAATCAGACCAACAGTATCCAAAAATGTTACATTAGCCTGTCTTTACCCCTAGATTTGAAAAGGTGATGCATAGGGATTTAGAATCCAGGGGAGGACACATGGCGAAATCCCCAGGCATCCTGCTATGAAAATGCAAGTGTTAAGTGCTGGTCTTTGGAGGTGGCTACAAAAACTATGAAGTTGAAACAGTTTGAATATATAGGTGCTAGATCTGACTGAGAGGTCACTGCTAATAAAAATTAAATAAATAATAATAATAATATAGAGCTTGTACACATTTCATCAGGAGTATGGCTCATTTTGACTCTGCTGTGTCGACACGCTTACGGACCAAATACTTCGGCAAAGCAAAAAAACAATTGTTTTTTATATTGCTATACAACAAAAGCATCTATATTGCCTGTCTCATTATCCCGTCAGCAACATGTTGGGCTGTAACTTGGAAAGGGCAAAAGTATTGAATTCCAGGTGGGCGGGGGGCTAAAAGATAAGTGAGCTGTGCACCCTCCGCTCCTGTTGCAATGAATGGCACTCAGAACCCTGCAGGATCAACCACGGTTGATGATGGTCCAAGTGTAAGAGGCTGCAACACCATTCACCTCAATGATGCCACAGCCATTTATGCCAGGTTTGAGTTTGACCCCTTGTGCATTCTATCTGATGCCTGTCACCTTGGTATCTAGGCATCAGGAGCTGGGCATCTCACCTTCACACTCTCCTTTGACTAACCCGTGAATGGGCCTTTGAAGGTGTTACTTTACTTGTGCCTAAGGATTTCTTTTTTGCTTTATAGTAAGATTGGAAATGGTCACACTGACGCGCGGCTAAATTTAATTAGTAGGACATCTTTGATGATGTTTGTTTTAATGTCTTATTTGATTGATTTAAAGTCTATTTGCTTAGGAGAAACATGGATTATTATTACATTGAAAAACAAATCCTTTCTAATGAATGTTATTGAAAATTATGAGAGAAAGAAGGACCAACATTTAAAAAAGATGATGATGTCAGGCTGTTTCCTTCTTAGTTCCAGCTAATGAGAGAAGAAATAAATAAATGACAAAGAATGCAAGTTTCACCCAGTCTTATGTGGGTATTTTGAATCCCAAGGCTCAATCCCCAAGCTAGACTTTGAAAGTTTACTCTGAAAAATCAGTCTTAATTTTTGATTTTCTTGCCATCACATTATTAAGCTGATTGTGGCCTTTTTGTAGTCACTTTTCTTAAAAGTCTATTATACAGGGACCAGATTCTGCCCTGTTAATGCAAATCATGACTGCACTGGGACAAGGGGAGAATCTAGTTCAGGGGATGATATTCTTGTGGGAGAGGATAGCTTTACCGTCTATGCAGGGTTCTATATATGCCACCCTGGCTAAATCAGCACATATCCCAGCTACTTGGAGCACACTCTCCAACTGGCCAGCACTGCCCTCCTTTTGGGCTGCTCTGCTGGAAATGGGCATCCTGGGGCTAGGAAGCATGTCCTTGTGCCACCATTATCCCTCTGGGAGGGCTTTCTGCCACTAGGATCCCTCCAGCAAGGTCTCTGCAGGCAAAAGGCAGCACATTCTATAAAACATAATTTATCAGAAAGGGTGCTGTAAGCATAACTGGCCTGATCCTGCATTCCTTGCACATTCCAGACTCCCATTGATTTCAACAGGAGTTTTGGTGTCACAAGGAGTATAGGATTGGACCCATATTTTGAGATTCTAAAGGCACATTGTCTACAGCGAAGCTCTACGATACAACCGCATTTGCTCCAACCCGTCAGACAGAAACAAACACCTACAAGATCTCTATCAAGCATTCTTACAACTACAATACCCACCTGCTGAAGTGAAGAAACAGATTGACAGAGCCAGAAGAGTACCCAGAAGTCACCTACTACAGGACAGGCCTAAAAAAGAAAATAACAGAACGCCACTAGCCATCACCTTCAGCCCCCATCTAAAACCTCTCCAACGCATCATCAAGGATCTACAACCTATCCTGAAGGACGACCCACCACCCTCACAGATCTTGGGAGACAGGCCAGTCTTTGTTTACAGACAGCCCCCCAACCTGAAGCAAATACTCACCAGCAACCACATACCACACAACAGAACC